ACACAGCGTTTTCCTGATGCAAATAATAGATCTGTTTGTAAACATTACAACGGCAACGTCAACAGTTTGTGGCCGAGAAAATTGTTTCCACGCTCACGTTTATTGCACGGCTATGATCCGCACGGAATTACTATTGTAGGGGCAGCATCTTTTGTGGCGCCTTCAGGACTGCAAATAAAACACTAACTGACACCACTAGTCAATTGACATACTTTTTATGAGCTGTCAAAACTCTATTCTTAAGGATATCATCGTTTCTGAACACGATAGGATTGCAAATATATTTTCCCAAAGATTTATAGTAGTGTCATTATTAAACAATGATGTCACACGTTCGTCTAATTATTCATGTTGATGTCATTAGCAAGAAAAAAGCCTCATAAAATGATCATCTGTATGATGCAAAACAGATTTAATAGTACTCAGGTAATTTTTCTAACAGGATATGTAAAGTTTAAAAAATCCAGATCTAAGATCAAGTAAAAGTTATGGAGCCATTATTGTGTCGGCCGCCCTCTTTTATTAACTTAAGCTCATGAAAAATGTATGCAATAAAGATGAAATACGTTCCCGATATAGCACTTTCCACTCAAGTTCATAGGAATATTATAAATGCGAAATGTGATTATTTCATTTCTCAGAAACGTTCAGTACTACGCTGAAGAATTCTAGGACAAGCTATATCTAGGGTAATAATATGCTTGTATCATTATATCTTCCTTTCAAGTTTCATCGTTTCAAGTTGTAGAGAGATAACATTCGTTAGAAACAAGACACAGACAGTGATCGATGTACAGACACCAAATACAAATCAAAAGTGTACAGCACTCATATTAAAACCTTTTTTGCACTTTTGTGCACACCATTTATAAGTGCGCTAACCGTGAATACAAACCTAAAGATGAAAACTACTTGCATAAAACCAAGGTCACATAATCGCCCTCATTATAGATCAGATCATACAAATTACAGCCTGCGGTACAGATGCATTACACTATAAGTACCATAACTTTTTGCATGCGACAATAAACTGAATGAGTCACATAATAACACTAATACATAAATTGACTTGTTTATGACTGGGGAATACCCAGCCTAATGAGCCCCAGACATATTTTATCAGTTTTATCGATATTTTATCTGAAATTCTTTGAGTCTTGTCGAATTCAAATAAACTCTTGAAATTCGCTACTCGGTGTGACTCTAATTGGGGTGATGCCAATCTGGTTCATTCCAGTTCAATGCTTCAAAAATACAGTCCTGTTTATATTATTACTAGCTTTCCGCCCGCGGCTTCGCCCGCGTGAAATTTTGTCTGTCACAGAAAAACTTTATCGCGCGCGTCCCTGTTTCAAAAACCGGGATAAAAACTATCCTATGTTCTTTCCCGGGACTCAAACTATCTCTATGCCAAATTTCATCAAAATCGGTTGCGAGGTTTAAGAGGGAAAGCGTAACATACAGACAGACAGACAGAGTTACTTTCGCATTTATAATATTAGTTGGGATGTCGCCTGTTCCTTCAGGCACTGACATTCCGAGGAGTACCACTACCAATTAGCGAGCGTCTTCAACTGTTAAATAAGGAAAACATACTAAACTTTTGAAATATACCCACTCTATAGCGAAGGAGCTCATTTTCTCTAGGGGAAAACGGAACTTTACCAAAAAGAAAGCCTGGATCAATGTTAACAACAAATCTTTCCAAGCATGAAATACTGCTTACCACCTATAGGATGATTCTGCCAAAAACCATTTGGCTGCTTCGAACTCGGTCGGAAATAGCGTTAGAAGATTGGCGATTCCATAATGTTTTTCTCTTATTTATATTTTTCTTTAAAATTAAGTAACTACATCTTTTTTCTTCACATTTGATTACGTCGTGATTGTAAAATCATGATCTATACGCCTTGTATATTCTCTAACCTCTTCTCTCTCTGAATTCAAGTCAATTTAATCATCAAGTCGCATAATGTCCTCATTAGCCTTTGTCGAATGGTAATGCTAGGATATTAGCTCCGTGCAGTGGATGATCGCGTGGTCACCCTACACAATGCGCAACTAGATTCGTATCTAGTCTAGATTGTCTGCCCACCGCCTAATCATCCTCATTGCGACGCCCATTGTAATCTCTGTCAATCGGCACGTTTGGTTAGATTTGCGTTGGATGTGCATCAGCTTGAGGTGATGATACTCTGTTCTACATACGCTGTTATTATTGATTGTGGATGTATATGATGCATTGTTCTGTGATTGTTGAATGCTTTTGTTATCCAACTGTTGTTGTAAAATAAGGCGCTGGATGCAGGCCGCTACCAACCGTGCGATGTGGAAGTCATTGGGGGAGGCCTATGTATAGCAGTGGACGTCCTATGGCTGAAATGATGATGATGATGATGTCATAAAATAGGATTCGCACCAGGGGTCTTGTTCAGCCGGATCAGCAATCATATCAATGATACAGGGCCTTAGGCTACAGGGGCTCTTAGGGCCGGAGGCATACTATCGCCACTGATCCGTATCTACCTACACGAAGGTGTAAGGCAAAGTAAAAGAGAAGAAGAATGACGATGATTTTGACACATGCCAGTCTCAACTCCAAATACAAACAGAAGTAATGAAGCAACTCCATTATGCCATCGTAAAATACTCTTCCTTCTGAAAACACAGCAAAATTCTGCAAGTTCTATAAATCTTTGTGTTAATACAGATACATTATTAAGGCCCAGTTTTTTGATTCATAGTTAAAATAACAAATTGTTAAATTTTGCTACTAATGGTTAAATATTAACAAAATTTAAACTAATAGTTAAAAATGTACTAAAATAGTCCAGTCAATAAAGCATTATAGATGGAAAACTGTAGAACACAATTTCTGACTTCAGGACTTTATTTAGACTAGTTAGGAGGTAAACATAGCAAAAGTCCATTTGTTGTCCCGAAGCAGTGGTAGGGTTAATATTGGGACGTGTAAAAGCGCTTTTTTAAAGCCTATTTGCAAAAATAAATGAATTTTATGAATTTTAATTTTATTTTATTTTATAGCTCAATGTTGATTTAGTCGATTTTCTCCTGAAATGAACATGTAAGACAACAATAAAACTTCCAATTTTACAGACCTTCTAGAGAAGATGCCGCAAAAACTATACAAGATATAGCAAAACTTGACGGTCTCACCTGTAGCAAATTGAATAAGCTTTTTTTGGTTCATAGTAGTCATGTCACTAGGACGCATAGTTTCCGAGGATTAAGCGAAAAACCGAAAAGTGGTACCTTTAAAACCCCCTCTCCCCGCCGGCTCAAGGGCTAAGGGCGGGGACTTTTGCTATGTTCACCTCCTAACTAGTCTAAATAAAGTCCCGAGGTCAGAAATTGTGTTCCACGGATTTCTCTCTACACCGTCGTTAAGGCATTCATTGACTGGACTAAAAGTCAAGCTAACCATTGTTCGAAAATCATTTTTTTCTGATATTTAACCACTTGTCATTTGACATCTGTCAAATTTGACCATTGGTTATTTTAACTACGAATCAAAAAACCGTGCCTAAGCGTAATTAGCAAGATTGTGGCGTTTGGTGTTTTCAAAGCGGTCGGTTATTTATTTAGAGCCCGTTTGCCGACTCGCTGCTAAATAAACATATTTCGGTTTGAGCTTTGCCTTGATTACTTTGAATACACGTCTGTTTACATAACAAAGGAAAGTAAATACATGTTTATTAACTTTTTGTAAACATCATCTTTCAGCTTAATTATAAACCAAACGATAGCTTCTGTACAATATAATAATTCCAATACAAATTGGATTCGTAGCAATAGGTATCTCTTAACATACGCTTTTCCATTAGGAAGGCAATAACAATATCTGAACTAATATCGCGCGTTTATTGACTCTACACTCAGATTCGGGCTAAAATAGCGTGGGTTGTACTATTTGTTTGAACTTTTAAGGCCATATTTACTTACTATGCATGTGTATAAAGCCTGGTCCGTGAGCACGTAGAATCCCGTCCAATGACCCCAAGCTACCCATCCTTATCGCTCGCGCGTAATTATATTGCTGTCGCGACTGTGCGACGCGCGCCCGCAGTGAATGTGCGAGCGCGACAGCAACATAATTACGTGCGAGCGACAAGGATGGGCAGCTTGGGGTCATTGGACGGGATTCTACGTGCTCACGGACCAGGCTTTAGTCACCGGCTATTTACGAGTACCTAAAGCTTCCCACACCAACGCGAGCAGATCGCGCCGGCGACGATGGCGATCTGCCCGCGTTGGTGTGACTTACTTGACTTAGGCCCAGTTTTTTGATTCATAGTTAAAATAACAAATTGTTAAATTTTGCTACTAAAGGTTAAATATTAACAAAATGTTAACTGATAGTTAAAAAATGTACTAAAAGTCAAGCTAACCATTGTTCGAAAAACATTTTTTTCTGATATTTAACCCCTTGTCATTTGACATCTGTCAAATTTGACTATTGGTTATTTTAACTACGAATCAAAAAACCGGGCCTTAGGCCCAGTTTTTTGATTCATAGTTAAAATAACAAATTGTTAAATTTTGCTACTAATGGTTAAATATTAACAAAATGTTAACTAAAAGTTAAAAAATGTATTAAAAGTCGAGCTAACCATTGTTCGAAAAACATTTTTTTCTGATATTTAACCACTTGTCATTTGACATCTGTCAAATTTGACCATTGGTTATTTTAACTACGAATCAAAAAACCGGGCCTTAAGGGCCTATGTCCCCTAGATGGGGCAGAGGGCGTCCACAACAGTCCTCCATCGCGTTCGGTCTTGAGCTTCGCGCTTGATCTCGCTCCAGGTCTTGCCGATTTTCTTCGCCTCGTCTGCTACAGTGCGCCGCCAAGTTTGTTTGGGGCTACGGTTGTTGGTGTGGTTGAAGCACCAACAACAACACTAGCTAATTATGCGTATAGTTCAACCTTTTTTCTTTCTTCTTCTTTTTGTCTAATGATCAACTTTCACTTGTTTCAGCCGAGCCTCCTCCCCTGGTGAACGTAACAGTCCACGCGTCCACAATCCTGGCTCTTATTCTGTGGAACGTGGCCGGCGACGGAGGGCATCCCATCATAGACTTCACGGCTCAGTACCGGTCCGCAGCGCCTGTGAATGGGTCCCTAGAACCCTGGAGGCCAATCAGCCCCAACCACATCAGTCCGAACTCGGTAAGATGATTGAATATGAAGACCTATTTCTCTACTTATGGAGTTTGGAACATGTCTTAGAGATATCTGCTACTGCTACGAGGCTGCAATCGTGACCTGTGGTGGATGGCAACTCTTCATAGACTTCACACTATGAAGTTCACAGCACAGTAAGAAATGGGTTCTTAAAGATCTATCAACTTATCAATATGTTTATGCAAGCTCTCTTCTATCAGCGTGTCATGTTCGTAATGCTTTGGATAAGCGATATATCGCTGCCCTAATGTAGCCAAAATCTGCTGTATTATGCTACAACGCTATAAACGCTAGAAAGAATAACATGGGTGATAGACTGTGTCACACAAAGACTTCCGAAATCGCTATGTTTGTACCTACTCACTCCGTGAAGCCATTCCGAAATTGAATCTGTCACGAATGTTATCAATGGGACTTACTTATCGATTGTCCTTATCCATTCCAGCGGCAAGTGGACGTGTACCATTTGGACACGAACGCGTCGTACTGGTTCCGCGTGTGGGCCACCAACGCGCTGGGCCCCGGGCCCCCGGTCGAGGTGCTGGCCACCACGCTCTACAGCGACCAGGAGGCTGGTACGTACTGTTCAAATTGTAATTCTTTATTCGTATGCAGGCTATGGCGGTTATCACACTGCGCCGCGCTCCGCCGCGGAGCGCGGGGCGACAGATTTAATAATTGTATGCTAGTACCTCAGTTTGTATAGAAAACACGCGCGGCACTTCACACTGACAACGCGTCCGCGCGCGTGATTTTTTATATGAAAATCACGCGCTACGCGGCGGAGCGCGGCGCAGTGTGATAACCGCCTTAAGGCCCCTTTCAGGGTACTTAGACTGTAGCCTTATTCACGTAACAAAACTTCAACGACAACAAATCGCTGAGTTGCGATCCTATCGAGTAATCGTTCTATCGAAATGACCCTTGTGAATACGGATGTTTTCAATGGGACGACTTCTGAACGTCAGCGAGATTTTGACTGTCAAAATACGTGAATTAGGCCACTGGTCAAATTTTTTAGCTTGCCCTACCAATATACTGGCTGCTGCTGAGACGAAGAGGCGGAAGAACTGCGGAATCTGCTATTGCTCTGTTAATTGTTGACTGATGCATATAATGCAGTTCGTTTCAAAGTTTGTCAAGTGTCAACATAATGAAATCGCAACTTGTGCAAAAGTACCACACGAAAGCTGCGTCATGTGATGTCATACAACATTTAAACGCTTGTATCTTTTTATTTGCAGTCCAATTTTAATGCTTATTTTCAAGCTGGTTTACTTTTTAATAAATTGTGTATTTGTGAATGAATGTCGAGATAATTATTTCACAAATGAAAAAAATGTCGCGAATATTGCTGAGCGGACGCCTCTTCAGCATAGCTTGTAGTTTAATGTTTAATGTTATACAGTGTGAGTCACGTTAAAGTGTACATATGAAAATAGATGAAACTAGACCTATTTTTATCGACAAAAAAGAGGTCAAAATTTTTTTGAGTTTTTTTTTTAATTTTTTATAGAATTTTTTTTCTTCCAATTACGTATTGTAAAGAAAACGTAATAACATTTAAACTAAGCGGTATATCCCGATAAAATAAAAACAGTGATAATGCTAAATAACAGGCAATACTAAAAAAATACATAAAATACACAAAAATTGCCAACAAATAATAAAAAATGATACTTTTTGAAAAAAATCTGCTTAAAAATTCGTGTTTTTTTGGTTATTTGATAAATTTCTCCAAAAAATGCCCCTATAACAGGTGGTTTTTATTGTTTTGTATTATTCTCTATCGTATTACCTTTGTAAAACCAAAAATTGCATGTCTCTATCCCTATCACAACATTTGCTATGATAGTTTGAACAAAGGCCTACCACAACATTATTCTCCTCTACAGGTAGGGACAATTTTAATTTTAACTAAAATGCTTATTTTACTTCGAAATCTTTTGTTTTTACTTGAAATCTAACTTGTCTTTATCAAAATTACAAATCTAGATCCATTTTCTGTTTCGTTGTTAGCGAAGCGTTGAAGGGCGCGCCCGGAGAGGCTTAGTTCAAACGATCATAGCAAATGTTGTGATATGGATAGAGACATGAGATTTTTGGCTTTAACAAAGGTAATACGATAGAAAATAATTCAAAGTAATAAAAACCACCTTTTATAGGGGCATTTTTTGGAGAAATTTATCAAATAACCAAAAAAACACGAATTTTTAAGCAGATTTTTTTCAAAAAGTATCGTTTTTTATTATTTGTTGGCATTTTCTGAGTATTTTATGTATTTTTTTAGTATCGTCTGTTATTTAGCATTATTACTGTTTTTATTTTATCAGGATATACCTCTTAGTTTAAAAATTATTACGTTTTCTTTACAATAAGTACTTGAAAGGAAAAAAAATCTATAAAAAATTAAAAAAAAATCTCAAAAAATTTTTGACCACTTTTTTGTCGATAAAAATAGGTCTAGTTTCATCTATTTTCATATGTACACTTTAACGTGACTCACACTGTATGTACTGTATTTTTATTTTATTTTTCTATGCTTAATAAAGTATTCTTATTCAATTAAAATATGAATATTCCATTGATTTCCACCGCTCACCGTCCACAGAACTCTACAAGCACTTCCTGGAAGGCTCTGAGAGCTTCGACACGCGCACGTGGGTAGCGGCCGTGTGCGTGGTCATGGGAACGCTGCTGGTGCTGGCTGCTGGCACGTGCGCCGTCCTCTGCCGCGAGTGGCGTCGCCCCGGTGAGCCCGCGCCCTAGCACTCGCACCTGCCCCGGCTCTACTTCCTGTGGCACTACTGAGCCGGCGCAGTGTGTCTAGCCTGTAGCTCCCGTGTCACACCTGTACCTAGCTCACCGTCTCTGTGCCGCGAGTGGCGTCGCCCCGGTGAGCCCGCGCCCTAGCACTCGCACCTGCCCCGGCTCTACTTCCTGTGGCACTACTGAGCCGGCGCAGTGTGTCTAGCCTGTAGCTCCCGTGTCACACCTGTACCTAGCTCACCGTCTCTGTGCCGCGAGTGGCGCCGCCCCGGTGAGCCCGCGCCCTAGCACTCGCACCTGCCCCGGCTCTACTTCCTGTGGCACTACTGAGCCGCGGCCGAGCCGGCGCAGCGTGTCTAGCCTGTAGCTCCCGTGTCACACCTGTACCTCCCGTGTCACACCTGTACCTCCCGTGTCACACCTGTACCTCCCGTGTCACACCTGTACCTCCCGTGTCACACCTGTACCTAACTCACCGTCTCTGTGCCACGTTGGGCTGCCCCGGTGAGCCCGCGCCCTAGCACTCGCACCTGCCCCGGCTCTACTTCCTGTGGCACTACTGAGCCGCGGCTGAGCCGGCGCAGCGTGTCTAGCCTGTAGCTCCCGTGTCACACCTGTACCTCCCGTGTCACACCTGTACCTTAAAAGACAATACATAACCAAACGATGCTGCGTGTAATGGATAAAAGATGTAAAGTTATCATTTGTGTAAATGAAAACATACTTTTTTTGGTAAATGTTGCCATTATGTAAACATTTGAGAGCTGCTTAGCTGATCACGGCTTCAAATCCGTTGAGTAGCGTTTGAGAATACCATTTAAAATTGAAGGATACTTAAATTTAGGAGCCCGTCAGCTGAGTGACAGATTTGAGTAGTGTTTCAGTATTCGGCCGTTAGACTCCTACCGTCATTTACCTAATTCCTGCGGCAGTATTGAGTTTATACCCGCCCCGTCCATTGTATTCTAACAGTATTGTAACACTGTGTCACTATGCATCCTACATTATACGACATATTACATTGGCGTAAAAGTTACGTAGTGACACATTATTTAATATTGTTATAGGCTCCAGTATTGGCGGTTCTGACAGATGTTGATGGTTTTAAACCGACTAGATAACTATGAATGCTCTGAATAAAAGATACAAGGATTATTTCCCTGCTAGCGTGTCGGCTCTACTGTCAGTTTCTAGTCAAAAACGTCAATAAAGAACCGTCTTTGAAAATGTGTAATAATATTGTTATTTTCGTTCATATAGAGAAATAATAACCACCGCATATACTTACGTATTAATATTTATGCATTAAGCAAACAGTAAAATGCAATTTATTTACAGAAACCCGAAAATACCTAAAAACCCACCGACAGTAACCTCAGCAGTATTTTATAAATATCATAAATTTTCTCTAAATGAACGAAATGATTTCTTGTAAATTATCATAGTTTTAATTTAAAGGTACAGGCTACACGGGAAGGTATTTTATGTTCGAAAATGTCCATTGTCTTAATCTAAGTACCATTATACATACAAGTCGGGGGAAAAACTTATCACTCGATAAGTTTAAAATTACAAAATTAAACGTTTCAAAATAGATTCCATTATTAACTATTGCAAATAGATTAAAATTCTAATTTATACATTAATTAATTGCTTTAAGTAATTGACTCGCTGAAGTTTATATAACTCCCAATACCAATAAAAACGTGCGCTGTGCGTTACACGTGCGTTCAACACTAGTTAAAATGTCATTCATACATAACGTCAAGTGTTCAACACGCGAGGAGTTAATTGTTATTCCATAGTATTCATGTACTTGCTTACTTGCGGTAATTTACCAAAACGCTAGAACCAATAAAAATAAAGTTAACGGCTTAAAATAATGATATAAGTTAAGGTAGAGACAAAAACGGTATAAAATAGGAGTATGTGATAGATTTACGGCCGAATACTGAAACGCCATTTAAATATTTGACGGCTTCTCAAATAGTTAAGCAGCTCCTAAACTTACATTTCGCATACTCAAAACAATATCTGAGCAGTTCTCAATTTTTAAGCACCTCTCAAATTAAGTTGCACTCAAACGCCACTTAAATGAATTTTCGCATNAAATAATGTGTGTCATCGTTATCATTTCTTTCGAGCCTCGAGGAAATACCTAGATCTAATCGCAGGAACGCAATAAGGCTGAACGCTATTGAAAAATATTATTATAATGACATGCAATTCCGAGCGAGGTTCCGCGTCTCTAAAGAAACGGTGTTGTTTCTGGATTCATAATTTGGAAGCTCTTTGAAACCCCTCACCAAATGCCATACAACCAGTGGACCAAATACTTATTATAACCCTACTGTTCTACGCAACGGGAAGTTATGAACGTGTACTAGGTGATATCTTCCACATCTAACAGCCAACTGTGCATCGTATAGTGCACGAAGTAACAACCAAAATAGCTGCTATGAAATCGCTTTACATAAACATGCCTATAATTATTTCTGAGGAAAGGGGACATCATCAGCAGCATTTCCAAGAGTTGTTGATTTGTCAATTTGATGCTCTGTCAGTCAACAATGATAAATGTCAATTGTGGTTACGTTTCGGTCCACGATCGCCACTTAATAGATTTCAACAATAAAAAGTATCACATTTAAAATTACTTTTTTAATTTAATAAAAATGCAAGCATTAATTTTATTGTATGATAAAACGAGATTTATATATAATAGAAACTAAAAATAAACTGTTCTATGTTAAGTTGATTGAGTACATTTCCATAAAAGACAATACATAACCAAACGATGCTGCGTGTAATGGATAAAAGACGTAAAGTTATCATTTGTGTAAATGAAAACATACTTTTTTTGGTAAATGTTGCCATTGTGTAAACATTTGAGAGCTGCTTAGCTGATCACGGCTTCAAATCCGTTGAGTAGCGTTTGAGAATACCATTTAAAATTGAAGGATACTTAAATTTAGGAGCCCGTCAGCTGAGTGACAGATTTGAGTAGTGTTTCAGTATTCGGCCGTTAGGTGTATTTTTAATTCGTACAGAATTATTCATAAAATAGGGAACAAAATTATAGGGAGTTACGGTATTACATAGTTATTTATCTTACTGTTATTTCGTGATAATATTAAAATTTACTTCCGTTATTATTATAAAATAATGTTAATATTTCAAATTATATTACTTCCCTTTTATGTAGTTTCGGGCGTATACAAATAGGCCGCTCAAACATTTTGTAGCCTATGTACAGTTACTTTTTCTTAAAAAAACGATTACCAAAATCAAAGGAAAAAAAGGTTGTTGTTATTTTATTATTACTATTAGTCAATATTATGAACAACTAAGCAATAACTACAGTATTTACCTGTTTAAATTTAGTAAACTCCAGAAGTACATGTACTATTGACGCTTAAGTAAGTTACTGATACTATGTAAGTAGTAACTCTATGATAGTATTTTTGAAGCACCTTTTTCAAATAAAATGCACAGCTTAAACAAGTAATGAAATCTCAAAAGTAAAGATATTATACAGGTAATATTAAAGTAATTTAACGCTAGTGCCAATACTTTTAAAATATCGTTAATAAATTCATAATAATAATGATAAATAAAAGTTTCTATTAGGCTAGTGTTTTTAATAAAATATACAAAATGAAAGATAAAAAATATGCATCCATTATGTCATTCCAAATTACGCTACGCAATTGGTGCTATTGCATTGATATTAGATATAGTAATAAATAATTTATTTATTATAATTAAATGATACCAAAAAGCAATCTACTAACTCGCTTTAATATTGTTACCTTTTGCTGTATATTGCTAAAACTAAACTAAAATATAATCTCAATTTTAATATAAATAATATTTAAAACTTCGTAACGGCATTGTTTAAAAGTGCCTTTATACTAATAAAATTGTGCTCCAAGAACTATTTTTAAAATAAGAGGTGTTATTGTGACTTGAATAAACATGTCTGGGCATTTTTAAACAATATTTTAGGTACGGACCAATGTAACTACAGGACGTCAATTAAACAATAGAATTCAATTATTCAACTACTATTTCAACTAGAAATTTTAAATTATAGAATAATGTAAACCTACAATAATTACAACTCATATTATTCGTAGAAAAAGTATAAATAATATAATTAATTTGAAGTAAATTCAATTAATTAGATATTTTAAAATTTAATTTTCTAGTTCAAAATAGACATTCCGATCTATTCATTTCGATTATTTAAAAATATTATCAAATCATAATAGTTGCTTGAAACTAAAATCAAATTAAAAATTATACTAAAAGTACAGATTTATGTTCATAATATGAATACGTTGTATGCTTTTTTAGTTATAAATTTTATTCCTAGCTAGCTTCAGTTTTAAAATAGTAGGTAATTTTACAATAAGGTTATTTTAAAATGCACTTATCATCCTTTAAAACATTGTCGTTGTAATTATTCAAATAATGCAGCTTAAAAAGTATCCGTTAAAATCACCCTGTATGAGTGAGTTTCTTAGTTAATAGGTATGAACAAATTGAGAATAGAGTTATGATTAACTATTCATTAGTGCATAATATTATAAGCTCTTTCGCAGTATACGAATTCTTGCCTTCTCAATGACCAATTTTCACTTCGCCTTAAAGCACTTGCTACAAAACTATCGACTTTTTAGGTACAAAATAAAGCTAAGCTATTTAGATACAAAATATATAACAAAGGAATTGATTGATTTGATATAGGTAATTAAATTAACTATTAATACCAAATAAATACAAATACAGAACTTTGATTTTCGTCTTATATTAGGTGCTAGCCTATGAAATTGACGATGAGTTATTGGAAATAAACGCTAAAGGCGTCAGCGACCTTTTTGCGTCTTATTTCATGGGCCACCTTGTTTCATAAGTAATTTCATTACATGATATTGTTAATTGATCGAATGAGAATGAAATCGATTCAACTGTCATTTCAAATATTCTGGTTTAACTCAAATCGCTAACGGATATAATGCTCTTATATCTTTAGGATCACTATATTCTTGGACCACTGTTCAAAGCGATACGCTAGCTATATCTACCAAAAATCTATTAGCATAGTTAAATATACGTACACAGTTTTAATATACAATATCTCTATTTAAGCACATGCTATGAGCACTGTTCTAGCTATGTACAGTCAGTATAACATGAATTACTAAGATCTTATTGAATAATGGTTTATCTAATCGAAGATTTAAAACATAATTTACATGTATAATAACATTTTTCATTGATTTCAGTCTGGAGGTTTTTACATTCAATAAAGCTTGATTTATTATTTCAACTAGATTCATAGTTTTAACAGTAGAGTAACAGAGTTGCTTAGCATAGCGCTCATAAGCAGTTCTCTCTTTTCAATTAATATTATTAAGTAAATAGACAGACGATCTTCATATCTTTTTGCTTTGCCAGCAAAGGAAAGGGATGTGACACATTATTTTTCAATAATAAAGTTCAAAATTAATGCGTTATAAATCTGCTGCCACATAGTGTAGTTACTAGAAATTCGCTTTTCATTCTGTGCTTAAAAGGTAGATTTTTGACAACTATCTTTGCACAGATTTAAAATTGTACCTACAATAGAGCGGATTTCTTGTAGTGTTGTACGCACTGATACTTTAAAGACGAGGTATCACCATTGAATCTATAAAACGTAGTGCGTACAACGCGTATTCTTGACAAGTCTATCCGCATGTATTGCATTCTTTCAAAAACATGAAGTACTTGCAAAATTTTTATTCATCAAATTTTTTTCTTCTTTTCCCTCTATCGCACTCGCTTGGAACGCACGCTTGGACTGCGGGGCTGCACACTAACAAACAAACACATACACTAACGGTGACGGTACGTATACTAACCTATCACGACATTATCCACGGTAGAGTATGGTGACGAGCAAGACGTAATGGAGCTTGTGCCTAATATAATCTTGAACCCGGGCTTCATGGATACCGAGCCTTCGCGCCCCCGGGAGACACATGCAGCTTCCATCATCAGGTCGACGGAGTGCCCGGGGCCCGGGAAGCCTCGGAGGGTCTGATTCTCGTCTATACTGAACCTTAGGATATTCTATCGCACCGATTCGGGACTGATCTCATGATCTTGGGCAGACGATCGTGGGCAAGCAGCTAGAATGTCACTGGATTGATTCAGTTGAAGATTGAGGACAGCGTTACTTTTATCATTACTTACATGATTTGACAGTTCTTGGCTACAGTGATCTCGATTTTGATACAACAAGCATGTTATTGATCACTGTAAGCCGTTATAATTCGACTTAACTGTATATTACTTTGTACAAAGCTAAATATTAAAAAATGAAGCTTTTTAAAACGATGTCTTGGCCCACAATCATGTAAAATGTCAATTAAAAACTACAATGTTTTTATTTCCATCTGTGAAAGGGTAAGAGCACATATCAAGAAGGTAAGTTGACTGACGAAGAATCTGGGCGACAGAGTATCCTATTGGTTGTAATGCGTTGCGCGCGAATATTAATAATTAAATTAATGTATAAACAAGGTGCACACCTATTTTTGCTTCAAAGAGTTTCTGTACAACTCGTTCAATAAATAAAAGTAATACAGTTAGTCTTAAAATACCAAAGTAATGTATTTTATTCTTGAATCTAGTCACACAGGTGAATGAAACTTTTTGAGACAAAAATATTGTTACAATTTTACCTTATACCTAACTACTGAGAGAGATCATTTTGTAGATTGTAAAGTTCCATGTCTGGCAGTGTTAAGGTTGCCATCACTAAAAAGAATAAATCGTTTAGCAATTTATGCAGTTTAAACTTTAGACGTTTCTTATACTAACCGATATGCTTGCATTTTCTATTTTGTAAAATTATATACACAGTTATTGTGGTGTAAGTCTGACACTGACGCTTTATTTATTCCCTGGCAACCCTGACCGCGAATATACATTTTAGGAGACATGTTGCTTACCGTTCAAAGTAAATTGTTGATGTTGCTAGTTCTTAAAATAGTATTTTTAATTATATATTTTGCAATATTAGATATATTTTTATATTGAGATCTCGAATAAATTAGGCACTTTTGTATAAATTACGTATAAAATAATCGGTTTCATTTTTTGTGATTTCGTGCTGTGATTTTGTTTGAATATTTTTTCTATGACATAAAATAAGGTATGGTATTACTTATATCTGTAAATATATATTTTAATAAATATGTATCATTTGGAGACTGGTGCGAAGGTATAGTATTCTAGAATAGTGTATAGCGATAGCGTATAAATGCTAATGTAACCCTAAAGTAAGCTTGAAAGTACTGAGCTTCCTTAAGCGTGTAAGCCGCTGTGGCGAGCCTAGAGTAATGTAACAAGGTTAGTAGTACAAATCAAGCAGAGGGTGAGGGGTAGGCCAATTATACATAATATATTATAATCATTATTATTCATTATACATACATACACCAACATTAGAGATATTAATAAGTACAATTATTAGCAGTGAATGTATGTAAAAAACCGATTTAATCAATTGTAACTGCAATGGTACCTACCTCTTACCCTGTTCACCGTAAGCCAATAGTAGAATGCTGTTGTACGGTAGTGTAAAAAATGCTACACTGCTTACAAATATTGTCACAAAGATATAAACGACAATATAATAGTTTGTATTCATATTGATCATGTTATAGTATACTACATTCATAATGTTAAAGTTACGTGTTACGCTCGAAGGCAATGATGCAATGTTAAATTGTAAGTACATACAAATAAATATATTGCATTTGTCATGGCTTAAATGTATATTTTTATGTCAAAATCTTAACCACATTATGTATGTATATTTACAGTCTTGTATTTTATTTATCTTTGTCAGAATAGGTATAAATGAATAATTTTAATTTGTATCTTTCGTTTGGTTTAAAGATATGAATTAGTGATGTCTTACTCTATAAACTTTCGCAAACTTGTAATAAATTGTGTATAATAGGTGTTTGTAATTGTAGTTAATGACTGTGATGATTATAAGAAATATTATTATTATGTACGTAAAATAGTAAAAATAAAACATGACAAATGCAACGGCTAGTTTTAAATACAGATGAGAAAGTTTTAATGTTGTTGTCGAAGTGAAAAAGCTGTTTATTTTTGTATACAGTGTGTATACATATCAGGGGCGCCTTAGGATATGAAAGTTGTGAAAATATATAAATGTCGTAATCCTTCTCTTCCTGAACTATGAGTTGTATATTTTGAAAAAAATCAAGCTGCAAGCAGGAGACGAAAATATTCAGTATTCTGCTAGTCAAGTTTTTTTTCTAAATATACAACTTCTCTCTAAATCTCTCTCTTGTGTAGCTCATTGCCTTTCTGTGTATTCACTACGTATTTTTACTCGGCACCGATGACTATTGATAGTATTTTTATTGTTTTGTGACTGGCTGTGTTGATTGTGACATTTATCTAGTAAAAAATCTTATGATAGCAATAACTGCCAGTTTTAACAATAATTTGATCATTCATCGATTATAGGGAAAACTGCTTTGTAAATTTATCAAAAATATTTTCGAAACTTCTAAATGTTGCGTCCAAAGCTTTTACTAGAAAGTTTAAAACTACGTCCATATCCAAATCGAATATTAGATGACCAGTCACAGAGCACAAACATATATTCCTATTCTGCGTTGTGCTTGCTCTCTAAAATTAGTTTTTAAGTAATAGAAAACTTGGCAATTATTAAAATAATCCGTGGCTATAGGTGTTACTCGTTAACCTGATAATGATGATGATTTAAAGATATTTATTGGATCACATAACTTCACGTCAGATTATTAAGTTCTATATTACGCAGATAACATTGAATTTTAAAAGTTAACTAACCTTTTCGAAAGTAATTGTTTTCTAATAATATACAATAAATGTAGTGTATACACGACCTGTATAAAGGGTGTGTATGTTATAAATGTTATATAGCAATAGTTAACTGCGAATCAATGGGTTACTGTTAACCAGTTACACAAATTGCCACGGGACATATAAATGTGCTAAATCGTCAATTACACGTCTTGTCTTCTTGGTGTAGTAATGTGTCTGCACCGCTAACTCTCTCAAAACTACGGCTATGAGGTCTTTAAATATGTCATAAATATTCGTAATTATTAGTTTACCTAAACTTATATATTTTGAGTTTATAAACTAAACAAACACTTTTGTCTTCAAAACTAATGCAATTCAAATTATGCAACTTAAACTGTACATAGTTGTAGACCTTTGTATACAACTTACGTTATGGCAGAATTATGTATATCCTGATTTGTGTATTATTATTATGTCGTATTTACAGATCACATTCTATGCCGTAGTGTCGTGTTTGCACCACTTTGTCTTTTAATCTTCCACATAAAGATAAGTGTTATTATATAAAAGTTATTTTTGTATGATGATTGGGAATGGTGTTACAGTAGGGACAATTTGAAATGGGATTACGGTAGTCTTTTTTGGTGTTTGCGATGGTTCTGGAATCTTCTAAAGGAGGATTAAGTTTTTGTATATTTCAGTTTCATAAGATCATTACCATATTATTGCCATGAATTACTTCTTTAGTGTTTTGAATTTTTAACATATCTATTACATCAGTGACTGCAGATTGTTATGATGGCGTCCACAATTAAAACTGTTTATACTTTTGTAGCAAAATTAAATGACAATCAACGACATGATCCGGTGCGACATTTTTAAATATTAGATCGATTTTAGGCCCGGCTTCCACCAAAGAAGAGAAGGGATGTGTTTGATCTTTGAATAACCAATCAGATATCCGAACCGAAGCTGAGCGGAGAGGTCATGTGGAAACCAGAGGGCTTAGTGTGAGTTTTCATCAAACGTCGTCACTAGTGAGCGCGTAAAAAATGTCATTAAATGTATGACGGATTGTACAGAGCCCCTAGCGGAAACTTTCAAGAGCTAAAATTTTCATTTTTTAACGCGCTCACTAGTGAGGACTTTTGATGTTAACTCACACTAAGCCCTATTGATTGGTTATTCAAACATCCTCTCTCTGCTCTGGTAGAAACCAGGCGTTATTGTTATAAAGACGCCTGACTCATGTGTAGCTAAGTATTATATCGACATAAGGGTTGTACTAGCTTAGTGGTTGGACGCTAGCGTAGGTCGCACGTAGCGTAGATAGCGAATTCGAGCGAGAGTCAAGACTGGGACGCGGGGTATATCGCTAACGAAAACAAAATCAATTCATTGTCTGTAAAAGCACATGAATATTATATACGAATATTATTATACTTATTTTTAAGCTCCAACTTTTTGAACGTTAGGTACTATCACTATTTTTCTGTAACTTCAAAACGCAAGAGATTTAGGTTATTTTCTATAATAAATCTCTTCGGCGAAAACTGGATAATTCAGTACGAACTTCACTTGGTAAGTTCGTTTGATCAGAAGTGTTTTTGCTAAACACTGGGCTTGTATCATACCATTTGTAATATCTATCACAAAGGAAAAGGAAAGGATAAATATTCAGTGAACTCGATTAACTTTGATATTATACTATAGTATGTATACTTTTGCAATCACGATTGTTTTGTTATCTGTAAAAAAATATCAACATTAGTGCGTGATTCAGGATAGAGCCTAGAATAGAAGAAATATAAAATCCTATTAATGCAGTTGATTTTATATTTTTGTATTCAGACACTATTCTGAATGAATCTACTTTACTCGACTGGCAAAATTATTATCACAAATTGCATGAAAAACTAACATTTTTATTATTTTTGCATAAATGCACATTGTTAGGCGAATGCTACACATTTCTATTGCTATTCTCACATCCTGCTGTATTAATTTTTTTAAAAGAAACTTTTTGGTTGTCTTTAAAAAAACATTTTTATGCACACTTTTTGCAGTGGTTTTTATAATGTGTTTGCATGTCTTGTATTAGGACTGGTCTACACAGTGAAAAGTAATGAAGGCACTTTTTAATGTAATACCTGAGTGTTGTGCTATCAAGCGAAGTTTGGAACGAAATGTAAAATATTCTGACTAAGTATCAACTAAGTAGACAGAATGTTAAATAGATCGAAAGTGCTAGAAATTCATGTTATACTGTCTCGTTTTAGTTTTACACGTATTATTATGGTATTTTACCACTTAGTTATGGTTTAGCTATTTTTAAATAATTTTAGGTGGGAGACAATGTTTTGATTGTGCAATTTAGCTAAGAAATCATACTAAAATGTATGAAAAAAGTGTAACTTTTGACTTTTCAAAATGGTTTCGATATTCAACATTCACATACGACTTTTTCTCGCAGGAAAATTATAAATCTATCAATATTATAAGCCTCTGGGATTGTACAATATTAATACTAAGTAAAACAATGTCTTCTACTTAAAATGTGTTAATTGTAAGTTAATTCTGAAGCCGCGTTGCCTCTGTAAACGAATAACATCCTTACTTTATATTAAAGTGTATTAGGTTAAGGTCGCCTTTCGAATATCGAGCACGTCCATGTTAAGTGCAGCGAACTATGTTTATTTGCTATTTTATTATTCACTATAAATGCTGGTTTACTTCTTTGTTATTCGACCAATGTATTTAGAGCTCGAATGTTTGTTTCTGCTCCAACTATCATAAGACTAGTCTTCTGTCTTTTAAGCCGAGTCTCCAGCGCATGTTTTGCCCTACACAATCAACAAAAACATAAATCAACATTCAACATTTTTTGTAGTCAATTTTTTTGAATGTTGATAGTGTAGTAGGGCAAAACGCGCTGGAGACCCGGCTTTAAAAGCTCTATCATACACTCAGAGCTCTAGATATGGCGGTCGATTAGATGATGTCGATTGATTAGGTGTTACACAATTTGATAAAACTAACTTATTTCAAATGATTATTATGTATACTTTTGCTTTGGATACTTTTAATACTGGTTTAATTCTAACCGGGATTGATATAATATGACTACATTGAGGCATCAATAGAATTTGGTAATAATCAGGTATCTTCGACTGAAACCAACATTGAGTTGTCGCAGAAATCACACAATGTCTGCACTTTCCTATCAAAGATAGTTTATGGTAACCATAGATTAGACCATTATGTCTTTATTAGTCGGGGTTTTGTTTGCAAGATTGCCAGATTCCATTGGCTTCTACTTGTCTTGATCAATCTCGGTGCTTACTCGGGAAAACGTATCCACTGACAGTAACATAGTGATCGCTTGGTGTCCTGTCCGCCGTCTACTATTAGCGTAGTTAGCTGTGACGTCATCGCACACATGTACTGTACATGTTTGGTTGTCACTGCAAGTTGATTTAGCAAAATATATTTTGGTTCAAAATTAGTTCAGTGTAGCCTCGCCTTAAGTTTTGGGATATGACGTCAGAAAACTGAAACTCTTTAGGTGAAAATAAAATGTTTTATTACACAACAATACGAATAAACAGTATATTATGAGTATTTTTATATTAAACCATGATGTGACATTTAGTTATTTAATTCTTATAATTTAGACGTACGAGTAATTAAATTAAATAAAGCAAAACAGACTTGGCATGATAGAACTCGCAAATTCTCGTGACTCGATTTGCAGTGAACAATCACATCATAAACATTCCAACGTACGATTGTCTAAACATTTCTAAAGATCTTTAGGCCGTGCGCAGGCGCACGCAAGTCAGCGAAATGTACAGACAGAAAATCAAACTAAATACTACATCTTATGTAGTTGTAGTAGGTGTTATTTTGCAACAGAAATGTTATAATCTGATGTGCTGTCGACTGTATTAATTACGTCACTTTCAGTGGGCGTGTCGGGGTGTTTTTCAGTGTGACTATAGCACCTTGTGTGTTCCTGCGTGCAAACAGCCTTTGACAGGGTCGGACTGAGCCGAAAGGGCATTCATATGTTTGTGGATTGTGGACTGAGCTGGACTCCACATTTTCATATCTTTGTATGCATATTTCTATGTACGTATCAATAAACCACCTGGGTTCCTACATGTTATGTAATCGTTAATCGAAGAGACATGCGTTTTCCGTGATCATTGCTTATCTGGTAGAACATGGAATATGCAATAGTTTACCAAAGTAGGTATTCCACCAGAAAACTAAATTTTCTAAGCAGTAGGACCATGGGTAACGCATCACAAGTCTCAGAAAGACAAATGCTATTTGTCCAGTCCGACACTGTCCTTTAATAAACTTCTCGCTAAATTGATTGTATCTCAAAAATATATTATGTTACCTACGTGCCGATAGACTGATAAAGTGATACAATCCAAATATCTATGTGATTTATGTTCCACGACTATAAGGAATTTATGTAAACCAAAGTTATTTGAATCTTATTTTATATTTAATATTTTTTATTAATGTTATATTAAAAATCCAAATTTTTGTGCAATAATATTTTTATTTATTTATAGTTTTGTATGTTTAACTGATGTGAAGTCGGCAAAATATGTATGTTTTAATCGAATTTTCTAAAATATTTAAGTAAGTGATCCGAATTTTTGTATGCTATTTTGCTGACCTTATTTTTACGCAGTGACGGATCCAGGAAAGTTGTTCGCATCATGACAGCTGTCATTTTTGACTAGACATTCTCGCAGTTGGCATGAATAAGTGAAGCTCCTAAAGCTAGGACTGCGTTAGTTTTGTAAGTTCAATTTTGTGTCAAGTCCGCAAAATTGTTCTACGCTTCATTTTTCAACTGTATTAGCTACGTAGGCTAGCTGACCGCCCTGGATCCGTCCCTGCAAAGCCTGTGATCACCCGCAATGTGGTGCCTGTCTAGGTACAAAGACACCGTTGTTGTAATGTTGGAAATCATTCCCATTAAAAGTACATTTTACACATAACAATGACTTTTATTTTGGGTCAAAACCTATCCTTTTTGATCACATAACACTTTTTTAAAGGTCGATTGTATAATAATGGTAATAATAAGTAACCTAGGACCTAGATAGTGTCATATAAATACAAAATATCTTCCTCATAATCTTGTTGCTTGACCCAACTTCAAGGTGAAATATTGTCTAGATCCGTTTCTAGCGCCTGAAAATAAAGTTGCAAAAATCAATTACCGATTATTCAAAATTAACTGCTGAACCGATTTTAATCAAATTTGCATTTGGATATGCACGCGATAGAGACCTGTGGCTAACCGACGCAGGTAAAACTAGTTCATAATCCTTTAAAATCCAAACTCGTCACCTTCAAATCCAGCGATTCCAGAGCGTCCTCAAGCGCCAGCAACCCTGGGTCGTCAGGCGTGAACACCCGGCACTCCTCCTCGAAGAACCGCTCCATCTTCAGCCGCAACTCCTCGTTGTAGCGGCGCGCGCGCTCGTATGAGGTCAGCTGCGTCGAGAAGTCGGAGACGTCGGTCGAGGAGTTGTGGAAGCTGAGGAAAAAATCTTGATTAATGTCAGTCTCTTACCTATTTCTGCATAGATGTGAAACAACCAAGGTAGATCTAGTTTCCTCCGGACATTTCTTTTCCAGGTTCATCGGACAATGAATCACAACTGAGAGCTCGCAACCACAAGCCATCATTGAAATATGGAATTGAATAGGTACTTCGATCATTGTCATAATCCACTGATAATGCTTTCTAATTTAAATAAAATCTTAAAATTTATGAAAATCAATGTTTCGAAAGCGTCTTCTCTAATGTTTCAGATGACGATGTGTGAAAACGAAATTATTTTCTAACCTGTTGAGCGAAGCAAGATATCCAGGTGGAAACGCATCTAGAGCAGCTCTCATTTGGCTCCAAGGGTCACTGAAGCTTCTGCTTTTGAGCTGAAAACCAACATCAAGACACTAGTCCAGGCTATACAAGTGGTCAAAATCCAAGCTAGAATATGCATTTTATGTCTAAGGTAAGCAAGCACTTACTTAGCACATAGGGCCAAATTTTAATTACACCCTCAGTAGAGTAGTTGACATGATAGGTAGGTACCACAAAAATTTAATTCATGTCCTTAAACGCTCAACTTATTTGAGTTCGCGAACTGGGGACGTCATAATAAGTCTCAGTCTCGTTTTGGCTGTACATAATGTCATTTGATAGTGGAGTCAACTTGCTCTATTCGATACGCCATCGACTCGCTTCCAGTAACTAAAACCTTCAATCTAGCTTCATCAAATATTGCGAAAAAAGCACTAACCCGTCTATACCGCGTATAGTCAATCTCCGAATCCGTCATAGCTCTTGACAGAGGTGCACTGGACAGCGTACTGGCCGTGTGCCCTTCATAATCAGCCCCTGACAGTGCGCTGTCACTCCTCGCTGCCAAAGACTCCTCCCGCTCCAAACGGTCCAGCTCCGTCCATGTATACGTCAGGGAAATATCTTCGGGAAGCTCCAGCTCGTTCACGATGAGAGAACGGTTCTTGGGGATAGAATCCAGAAGTGTCTCGAACATTTTCATTTTGTTTTACTTTTCTGCTACAAGAAAACTGCAGGTTCGTGTAGTGTTGCGCGGAAAAATATTTGCAGATCTTCAAATTAGACCATTGTAAATGATAGAAGAAAGTTTCTCAACCTGGAAAAGAGGTCCGATCTACACAATTGTGTGTTTTATGATCAGTAATGATCACACTGATAAAGTAATTTTAAGATGCAGAGACTTTGATCAAATAGAATCTTCATAAAGAATCACAAACCGGAACTAACACTCCGCAAATTTCGTCACGCTGAATCAGATCACTTATACAATGACGTAATTTTCTAAGAAATTCAAAAATATCCTTTTCCTTGTGTCACAACTGGAGATGAGGGTGTGCTCACGTAGACCGCGCGATTTCACAACATGCAAGCGAAGTTTCTTCAAGTAAGTTTGGTCGATGGGACGTGGTTACAAACACGCAACCCAAATATATTCCGTTGCAATAAAAGACAGTCACGATGAGCCTCTGAAGTTGGCAGTTAATTAAATTACCTTTTTGACCTTTGTGACAAAGTAAGGGCATGTTACTCGTTCCTACTGAAATAGCAATGTAATCTTCGATGAAATTAGTTAATCGATCAGTCAGCCAAAGACAATAAAGTATGTTTAATAATTTTTAAACTTAAACTCTACACGAGGTCGTCATTGATTTCACTTGGTAGAGCTGTTCTCGTAAAACAATAAATTCATTTATTTTTGCAAATAGGCTTTTAAAAAGCGCTTTTACATAGAATCTAAGCCTCGTCTTAAATATCTTATACTAATTAAATAAAAATAAATCCGAATCAATGTACCTAAATGTAACCGAAAAGAAGTTACGTAATGTAAAATACCACGTTACTAGGCACGGCACCTATTGTCAAAAGAACTTCTTACTGAATACAATTCGGTCAAAGTACAATTTTCTATAAATAAAAAAAAATTTTTTACTACTTAACCAGCATCAAGAAATAGTACTAGATAGAAATTTACTCTAACGGCTAGCCTCCATCACCCGTTTATTTCAGACACCCTCAGCTACCCTCTAGAGGTCGTCGGTCCTTCCAAGGTCGGACTGGGCCGGAAGGGCCCGGGTGGCTGATCGCAACCCGAGGCCCGAGACTAGATCATGGTGATGGGATACTATCGAAAAATACTGAGATACACAAATTGAGATAAACAAACTATAAAAAATTTATTAAATACTAAAATAAAGTAAAATAATAAGTAGGTATACAGTGTGAGTCACGATAAAGTGCACATTATGAAAATAGATGAAACTAGACCTATTTTTATCGACAAAAAAGAGGTCATTTTTTTAAAAGTTTTTTTAATTTTTTTTTATGATTTTTTTTCTTCCAATTACTTATTGTAAAGAAAACGTAATAACTTTCATACTAAGAGGTATATCCTGATAAAATAAATAACAGTAATAATACTAAGTAACAGGCAATACTAAAAAAATACATAAAAATACTCAGAAAATGGCAACAAATAATTGAAAATGATACATTTTGAGAAAAATCTGCATTTTAATTCGTGTTTTTTTGGTTATTTTTATAAATTTCTCCAAATAATGCCCCCATAACAGGTAGTTTTTATTACTTTGTGTTATTCTTTATCGTATTACCTTTGTAAAACCAAAAATCGCATGTCTCTATCCCTATCACAACGTTTGCAATGATCGTTTGAACAAAGGCCTGCCACCACATTATTCTCCTCTACAGGTAGAGACAATTTTAATTTTAACTAAAATGCTTATTTTACTTTGAAATCTTTTGTTTTTATTTGAAATCTAACTTGTCTTTACCAAAATTACAAATCTAGAGCCAATTTCAGTTTCGTTGTTAACGAAGCGTTGAATGGCGCGCTCGGAGAGGCTTAGTTCAAACGATCATAGCAAATGTTGTGATAGGGATAGAGATGCGATTTTTGGTTTTACAAAGGTAATACGATAGAGAATAATACAAAGTAATAAAAACCACCTGTAATAGGGGCATTTTTTGGATAAATTTATCAAATAACCAAAAAAACACGAATTTAAAAGCAGTTTTTTTTTTCAAAAAGTTTTTTTTTTATTTGTTGGCATTTTCTGAGTATTTTAGGTATGTATTTTTTAGTGTCGCCTGTTATTTAGCATTATTGTTGTTTTTATTTTAGCAGGATATACCTCTTAGTTTTAAAGTTATTACGTTTTCTTTGCAATAAGTAGTAAATTGCGAATTTTACGCGCTTTTTCCGCGACCGTACCCAGGGTCGTCTTTAATATATTAGGGGCCCTGGGCACTTAAAGATCAAGGGGGGCCCATATCATCTGGAGAAAGGTCTTTTGAGTAGACAGGGGTCCCCAATGCTACCAACCAAGGGGTTTTCCCCCCAGAATTAGGGAGTAAATAAGTTAGATGGGATTTTTAGGGGTATTTTGAAGGATTTTCTGACTCTTTAAATACATATTTTTTATTTTATAATATTATTATTGTTATTTTTTTAAGATAAATATACAAATGAAAGCCAACAGAGACATTAATATTTATTTTTTGGGACTTTAGGGATAAATATTTTTGAGAATTGGTAACACTGGGTGGGGGCCCCCTCGGTCGCGGGGCCCTGGGCACGTGCCCAAAGTACCCAGTGGGAAAGAGGGGCCTGACCGTACCTCAGCAGATCCGTGGTTTGCATAGTCAGATCCGTGGCGAGACAAATTTAAACAATTTTTTTCACTTCCTATTATATTAATTTATGAGGGTGCCTCATCGACAAAATGCTTCATTTTTCAGCACTCTTTTGCCACATAATTTTAGTTTTCTTCTGTAATTAAAAAGAAAATAGCCACGGATCTGACTTGAAGAACGTTTCTTCCAGGAATCAGCCGCGTATGCTTGGTGCCGTGTTAGCTAGATCCAGAAAACCGCGTAAATTGCGAATTTTACGCGTTTTTTCCGCGACCTTACTTCAGCAAAAAAGTCCCGGTCCTTCGAAATCAAGACAGATTCCTGTAGTGTTTCTTGCTTTAGTTTATTTAATAAACGGCGGAATAAACACTATTATTATACTTCTTTAATCTTTAATTTAGGGCAAAAAGTTATATTAACATATTTGTAGGCAAAGCAATTTTCTACAAATTATGACTGTAATTTTTTTTTGTATGACGTATAGTTTCCGAGACATGCACGCGGGCAACGACAAGACAAGACAAGCACAAGGAGCCACGCTGCGCGGGCCCCTTGTGCTACAGTTGCCGCATGCCCCGCAACCCAGGCCCGTGGGGGGCCCGCGCAGGCTGGGGCCCGGCTGGCAAATGCCACCTCGACTGTATGGCCAGTCCGACGCTGGGTCCTTCTAGCATGTTTATAGGACTCCCATTACGTTTTCCGAGACGTGGTCCCCATTCGCGAACCCGTTTGCCTACTCCAACTTTCGCCGGTTCTTCGGCAGATATTGTTTCGACGTTTGAAGCTTTGAATGTACCAAAACTCTACAGATAGTAGGTACGACTCAATTTTACTACTTGTTTTTTTAAGTGACAGGAGGCAAACGGATAGACGGATCACCTGATGGTAAGTGATTACCGTCGCTCATAGACACCCGCAGTCTCAGGAGCGTTACAAGTGCGTTGCCGGCCTTTAAGGTGAAGATACGCTCTCTTCTTGAAAGCTTGCAGGTCGTATCGGTCCGTAAACACCGCAGACTGATTACAGTCCATAATGGACATTGTATTATCCTTATGTCCTGTATATCCCAATCCCATATTTTACATTGTTATTTGTTTCTCAGAGCTGATGAGTCAGATTTTATCTTTGTCTGTTATGATAGGTAATGGGTTCTGTTCCGTTAAACATCGTTTATCATTAATCTTTTCTGCTTATTGTTCAGCAACCTACCCAGGGGAATAACTGCTGCTTTGTTACAGTCTGTTGTATTGTTCAAAGGAAGATACACTATAAAAATGTAGAGTCACTTATCTTTTGTTCGTTCGGTTCGATCAAAAGGTGTCCACTGCTTGACAAATGCCTCCTCCGAGGATTTCACAATGATATCCTCAAAATCATCATCGGTAATTCGGTACACATATCTTGGCTGTTGAAAAACCTTAAATGTTTCCCTCCATAGCAAGTGGACAGATTCGCAACTGGACAGATTCTCAACTGGACAGATTCGCAGGTGGACGGATTAGCAACTGGACAGAGTACAGTCCGTGAACAATGAAATATAGTTACTTGGCTGTTCCAAGACTATTTGTAGAAAATAAATGTAATTTTGGGTGTGAATGGGCTTAACAATATTGTAAGACTATACAAAAGTAATTAACATCAAATTAAGATAAGTTACGTTCGCTACGTTCATCAATAAAACTCATTAGGTAGCAGTTTAATGTAAAGGCGAAGACAAGATATGACTAATTAGGCAACCAAAAATAAATCTGACTGCATAATGATTTTGCAAGTACAAGTTACCTACTCCTTCTGAGTAAATATCCGATTCATACAATGTAATGTTCTCCTTTGCTTACTTATCTTTGTGTAAGTTTTGACGTGGTTTTAACAACCGGAATTTACCATTAATATAAGGTAGTGTCGATTAATTTTAATGTGCTATACTCAGAAACGATAAAAAATTTACAGTCTCAGATATCTGTCATCATAAAGGATGCTTTTACGAGATACATTACCTAAACGACATTGGATCAATGAGATTCTATAGACTTGCACTTTGATTAATCGACGTTCAATGGCGCATTGAAAGCGCGACTGTGGCGCGACACAGACTAGAGTGTTTACAGCTGGAAAGCTAGTTCTACCATCGCATGTGTTTACGTTCCGAATCGCATGGCACGCTGCCCAGCGTTCGCGTCAGTCGGGATTCTTCCGCGCGGTGAGTCGCACGCGCAATCTCTAGACTGCCGGCAACTGCGCACTACACCGTCTACATAAATTCCACGCGTTTCCACAGTATCAGCTGATATCTACCGCGGTCCCCGCTCGCTTGTTCTTGTTCAGTCGCTCAGTCATGCCTCGGTAGCGCGCGCAGATGGATGTGCAAAACGGTTCGCCGTCGCTGCGGCTGCGCGGCGGCGTGTTGAACAACGGTGATAATAAGAAACATGAGTTGAATCTGTGCACGAGTGTGATGTCGCCGGAGACCCAGCGGCTGCTGCCGCCGACCACGGAGACGATCATGACCAAGCCGTTCCCGATCCGAGGTAATAATAGATGGAACTATTAATACGCTTCTCGCGCGGTGACAGCTGCGAGCGGTTCCCGCGTATGAAAGCGCTCGCTGCACGCTCGGGACGGAATGCGTCGATTGATGCTGCACTGATTGCAGTGGGGTCGAGTCATCTAAACATGTTGTGATAACGCGTTAGGTATTCGGAAAATTTTGCACGGAAGGGGCCAATAATTAAATGTAGGGATATAAATGAAATCGACTCTACAATGTTTAAACTGTAAATTCAATTAATATTTTTACTATCTGGAATCCTTTAAGTATCTACGATAGTGCATCTCACTAATCCAAATACCTAGTGCCCAAAGCTGGCTTTCATTTATTTTGGTCCAAAAAATTTTCAAAAGGTTGCGGCCCTCTGCCCATAGAAAAGATTACAACGCATCATCTTCATGCACTCGTTTTCGATTAAACTGATTTAGGCCTACAATAAATTATTAGTTTATTTCAAGTCATTATTTATTCAAACTAGAGCAGCAGTCATTAATTTCTTTTTACAGTAATTTACGAATTTGTCAGGTGCTCACATATTTTTTTCAATCATGTTAAGGTCCTTTAAAATTGTTACTTCATATTGTTGTACAGGCTTTAATGTTTAATTCATCATTTATCTTTTATTTACGATACAAATTACAATAACTCACTGTAACGGTGATCCAGCAAACAGGTTTTCTTTGGACAAAAACTAGCGTGAACATTTATCTTTTTGACTCTACAATGACATTGTACTTGTTGTAAAGGAAGGATCAACAATGCGTATTAAAAGCCAATCTGTCTTGACATTCTGTTGTGACATGGGTTGTTTCCAACTTTAATTTGACCATAGTATACCTATTAATGAGTATTGATTTGTTGACCTTCTCCCCAGGGTTTTACTCGTATGTATTCATCATAGGACTGGCTCTACGGTAATGTAGATAATAATGAATCCAGAAGGTGCCTGAAGGAAAAAACCTTTCTTATCTGAAATTTCGCATGATGAACTCATAAGTTTCCTGAAAAATAAATGTCTATTTTTGCCATCAAAAGGTATTGGGAGGAGGTAAAATTCACTCACTAGGTACCTACATTACATTGCGTTTCTTTTAGCAAATTATCCCAATCTGACGGGTCCAAAAATCACAAAATTTACGAGCCGTGGACTTAAATACAAGCTAGGTACCAATAATCGATATATTGTACCACATACGAGCCATTGATTGGAACAGTTAAATCGATTGGACGTTGTATTGATTTGCGAATTGCGTGGGAGACGCGCAGGCGCATTCAATCAACTAAAAATGTTCTTTGATTATTGAACACCTAAACAACAATTGTTTATAAGGTGTTAGCATTAGGGCTCTACATCAGCTTTTTGTGTCTCTTTTCTACAGTTGACAGATCATCAGTCTGTACAATCTTGATGCAATCTTCTTCTTTCTCGATCCCTCATAAACTGTGTGGACCGCACGAATCGAGCTCCCGCCCACCGTCTTCCTCACCGCGTCTGACCATCTCGTCGGTGCCCTGCCCTGAGCACGTCTGCCTTCCATTTGTCCCAAGATAATTTGTTTATTGATGCAATACAGCACCTATAACGTCTTGAGACGCCAATATTTATTTAGCTTGATGTGCTTGATTATATCTAGAATCAACTAACTAAAGATTTCAGCAATAACCCGATAATCCTTATTCATGAGGTTAACGGTTTATCTATTGCATTACGATAGCACGAATGTCCTCTCTCTTATCTTTCAGTCCACAGTTCCACACACTGATAGCAAGTCTACGTCAATGGGTATCTTTATGAGATGCATTATTTCGGTAGTGTAATATGAGATCTATTGTATTGAATAACCAGATTACCCATTACATTATAACATCGTATCGTTAGTTAGAGGTTAGAGGTGAAGCCTTATGTAGAACTTTCGACCCAGTGGGTTTTTTGCGTTCCCTACTATATTTCTTGTTTAAATCAGTAATTGATTTCCCGCAGTACCTCCTAGATAGAGTAGGCTGTAACATTTTATTAAAAAGATCAAACTTGGATATGTCCTATCAAATAGACTACTGGTGGCAATGTGTGAATCCTAAACAGTTTTGTCTTTGGATGATCGTGGATATTGCAACAGTAGTTAGAACATATTCTGCTTCAAAATAAAAAATACACCACCAAAGGGTTCGCAAATTCCTTGCGTACAGAAAAGGATTGGAATTCCCGGACATAGAGAGACATCCCAAAGCCTTTTACGAGTGAATAGGCATCTTGATCAATCTCTTCGTTTTGGATTATGTTTTTCTCACCAGAGAACTGAGATTCCAACCCATTCAATGTAAGAAAAAAAACAACCAAGTGATTTTAATTTTAACCTAACCTAAATTGCTAATGCATTATTTTAACGACATCAAATACAAATCTGAGTCACGGCTTCTGATAAGGGCCTTTGTTTAAACAAAACAGTTATAATGGCGCTACTTCACGCTCATATGTCGCTGATTCAACGTTAACCACAAATGATCATTACTAGAACCAATCGTGTACTACAACTAGGACAGACTTGCAATATGAATTTGATATAGGTCAATGACTGCTCAAAAACGGTAGAGTTTGTTCAAAGTTAGGTAGCAGGTAGTTCAAACCCCCCCTCCCCACAGGTTCAAGGGCTACGGGCGGGGAATTTTGATTTGATCACCTCCTAACTAGTCCAAATAAAGTCACGAAGTCAGAAATTGTGTTCCACGCATTTCCCTCTTAATTCTTATTTTATTGACTGAATATTAGATTTGGCTCTACATAGCATCCATTTCGTTAAGCAAAGGGCTTAAATTATGGTGTTTGCTTTCTAATCTAGATCTATACATTTTCTGTCTCTATTTAAACCTTACTCATTATGAAAGAAGATACTACAATTTTTAATTGACGGGTATTTCTTTTAGACACTGATATAGTTGTTCAACACTGAACCGTCCCAGCTATACCATTGTCAACAGGAGAGCGTTACTATCAATACCGATTAATGCCACGTTGGATAACCATATAATTATGGCATTTACAGGAAGGCGATCAATACCAGGTTATTATTATCTTATTTGCCACTTCAGCCACTTGACGTTTCAGAATCGTTTAACTGTAATTAGAAATTTTACTACAAAGATTATCAATGACAAAGATGACCGAAAAACTTGTAATCAACAAAATGACACCGCCTGAAAGACAATGGTAACAACTAACATGTTTACAGCTGCCTTTTCACTTACAAACTACCTACTTATTCTGAAGGTTGTCTGAAGATAATAATTGTTTGGTTAAAATTACGGAACAATTATTTAACCACACCATGTTAAGCACATGCACACAATGTTAAAACTGAGTTAAGTGCCAGACCTATAGACTAAAGATTTTCTTTAAATTTTTTTTATCCACAACGAGGAAGCTCTTGGCCTGTATCTCACCTGATGGTAAGTGACGATCAGGCCGAAGGTGGAAGCGAGCTTCACCCGGAATCCTCAACCACGGAGGAACTGGCTATCTTACCTCTAACTGCCGGAACACAACAATGCTGTTAACATTGTTGATCTAACTAAATACAGAATTTGTACGGAATTGTAATTACAAGAAAATTAATTTGAAACGTTAGTTTAACAAGACCAGAGGCAGGTTTTATTTAAAGACTCGTTAGATCGAACTGAAAGACTATTAACATAATCGATTTTTCACAAAGGAGATAGAATTCATAGAATACAAATTGGTTTTACTCAGTCTGGAGGACGCGGCGGTTTAGTAATGAAATAATGATCATTTATTGAGAACACGGTAATGAAAATAAAACAACTTTCCCAAAATCATATACCTAAAATAAAAAATCATGTAGACTTCGACAAATGTCTTAAATATTACTTAACTGTGAATGATCAGATTAACTTCAGTGACTAGTTATTATTTTTATTTAAATAAGTAAATAATACATAATTCGAAAAAAATATCTGCACGTGTAAAGATAGCGTCGGTAGCACGTAGTAAGTATCAGTTCTATTAGAAACAACTGACTCTACCAAAAAAGTGTTGAATCACAAGATGCAATTCCCACGGAGATTGATAGCGAGTCTAGAAAAACATAAACAGACAGAACTGCTTATTTAGGGACTTATGCCCGTATTCACAAACAAACGATAGTTGCATATTAAAGTGAAGCAACAAATCGAACGCACAGCGTTGAATAGAGCTCTCAGCTCTGTGATTGGTTCGTTTCACCCTGTGCGTCCACACGCATTGTGAGACCTCATAGTAATGTATGTGAATACGGGCGTTAATGTGTGATTCGAAGAGTCCATTGTTTACACTAAATGAAAAAGTTACTGCATACAGTACAGTTCAAAGGTCTACTGCATATTCAATTTTCAACCTGAATCTCGTGACCCACTAAACTCATTTCGTTTGGTATTGTAGAGTTTTTGTTTTTTACCTAAATATTTGATACGTTGCTTCATTTATGTGACATTTTTATACAGGGTGTCCCAAAAAGTAGTGCCAAAAAACACAAAAGCCGGCTTCATTGGCTGGACAACCTATGCGTGCGCTTGATATTATTCTGTAGCTCGACTTTCGCCTGGCGGTAACCACATAAAAAGCCTAACAAAAGCCGGACAGGCCAGACAAGACAATTTTTGGCCGGACACGACGGTAAAAAGCCGGACACGACGGTAAAAAGCCGGACACCTGGCAACCCTAGAACCGCATAAAAAAGTTACGTTTAACAGGGCGTTTATCCAGCAGTGGACGTCATTTGGCTGAAACGAACAAGTGGACCTAGTTCGGTGTCAATTTATGTAAGGGGGAGCATCTCTCTTCATGACTGTCTAAGATCAGTTGTCTCATTCTATACAAAATACGTAGTTACATAAATTATGTCTTTAAAAATGACAACAGCTCTACATTCAAATGCTTGTTCCAGACAACATAAAGCCATAACGTCTAGACATTTCGATTCAACGAGC